TTAATTGCTTCTAATCTTATGACGTCCTAGAAAGATAAAATGTTGAGAATCTCAACTCTGCTTTAAGGAACTCTGGTAAACTATCGGTGGTGCACTTTTTTCATGATGTCTTTTGGCGCGTTTCATGCATCATTTTTTGAAATGAACTCCAACAGTATAGGTCTGAGGGCCTGCCGGCCATCAATCTATTGCCAGTGATTGACTTCTGACGAAATAGGCGTGCATTTTGGCATACGTGAGATTTTTCAGTCATTGTCGATTTCATAAGACCAACTAGCATGTGGCATCCACCAGACGAATGGACGATTGTCTGACGGTGAAAAAATATCCCCAATTTAAATAATTTTCTTATGTTAATCAAAAAGCAATAAAACTATCGGATTTTTAGCTTATGAAATGAAAAAATACGCTCAAAACACTGGCCGGGACAAAGGAAACAAAGTAAATTACAAAAATCCGCCCTCCGTCGCAGTCGTTGCGGATTTTATTAGGTTACCACGAAAGTGTACTTCGCAGCACAGAAATACGCGGACTCTATCCATCTTTGGTTCCAATGTAATTCACTGTTTTTAAAAGGGGAGTTGCTGAGCAATTTGAGGTTTTCTGGGATAAATCTAACGTTATCTAATGACGAAATTAAAGTACATGTTGTTGTATCCACTGTAGCATACAATTCAAATTGTTGAAAACTCATCTATGCAAAAAACTGAACTTTTCTACGTCATGGCTCCATCATCTAATGTATAAATTTGGGAAAAAGTGAAATCCCACAGTGAGGGTTTTCTCTATGGAAGCACGAGATAAAACTAGCAGTTTGTTGTTGCCACAAAACCAAGGGAACTAATAAGTTCAGCCATACATAGATTTGTACGGCGTTCAATCACGTGATCCTTTTACACAGCTGCCTCACAGATTGTCCACAGATTCTGCGGGTGGTACACAAATTTGCATCCAGGGAAATTTGTTCACTCACTGACAACACCCATGTGTTACTTAGCATTTTCTCGGACAAAACGACCTGAACATGTATCTGCACGCGACGCGTAATAAAACCAGCCAGACAGATATTCAACGAGCATAATCGGCACGCACCTGTGAATAATTTGAGTGAACTCGCTGAATACGGGATGCGCAGACGCGTCGAACCATTGTAATTTTATGCTAGAAAGACACAGGATAATGATCACTACACATTCTTAAACACAGTGAATGCCCGAACACTGACTGAAAAATCAGAATTTCAAGTCAGTTAAAAGTGAAAATACACGATAGGAACGACCGAGAGCTTCCGAAAAACAGAAGTTTCCTGACTAAAATAGCCGGTTAAAAATTTCGATTCAGTTGGGAATTCAACCAAACTTTATGGCAAGGAGTGGAACAATTTGGTTTAACGAGGTCTTTACCTATGTTTAACTTCATCAGTTGGGATTAGGTGGAGTATACACGCATCTGCATAACGCTCGGCACGTGTCCTGAGGGGAGCCTTCTGGATGAGACAATATACTTCGCCACTAGTGTCCCATTCCTCTTATTACAACTGGAAGGATATTAATGAGTAGACTTAACGTGTGGCACTAAAGCCACTTTCAGGTGTGTCCTCTTTGTAAAACTAGGGGGTATCAGTATGCGTTAACAAAATAGGTCTACTCAGTTGATTCATTTGATCCTGAATGCAAACGAGACAACCCATATATTCCTAAAGCACATTTGTTTTATTTTGTTACGTCAGCATTGCGATACAGAATAACTAGGCAGTTATTGCTCATGTAGGGTTGAGATGCTAGAGTACCCGCCGAATGACTTTGCTGTAAAAACTAGGGAGCAGATACATTGTGGACATCACTACACGTTGGTCTTTCCCCAACGTACATATTTATCATCCCAGAAGACTAAATTCGGGATAATAAGCCACTCATTGCCGTAGTTGGTGTCAGAACTGTGTATTTAATTCTGAACTGCAAGAGATTTCCACACGTGCACTGCCAAGTTTTGAGACAAGCTGCTGATTTGTGGTCGGTTGATTGTATGCAGGGCTTCCTGGATGATTTGATGTGAAAATTCATACTGTATAAAAAGTACCTAAACGTCCCAGTCTTGCATTTGTAGTATCCCATGCATGTTGCTTCTTGGATGATCCCTTCCACCGTTTTTCAAGACAAAATAACTTCTGGCAATAAGCGACATTTGCCTGGGGAAATTAATTTACTCCAGGTTTGGCGTGCTTCTACTTGAGGAGTTTTATTGATGTGTCTAGCAGTAATCCATTTGATCATTCTCAAATTATTTTTTAGACGAACCACGCGGACATTGGAAATTAGTTCACTACTGTATATGTGGTTGATATTCAGGCTGAGTTGCACCTACTGCATGTTTAGAAAATTGCCTGACATCCATCTTGTTCCCTTGGAAACCTGGTAATGTTGAGGAGTGCTAGAGGTACCTATTTGCAAATCTCGTACTGAACGTAGCGAATCCTAATTAATGATTCTAGTGACAGTGTCTCAGCAGGCTTTCAACGATTGTGTGCATGTTTTTGGGAGAATTGAACCTTACGAGATCATCAATGATGGTCTTGCTTTGACTCAGCTCCGACTTTTTCGAAGAATTGTACATAATTCGCGTGGATAAAGAGGTGTTCTTATCCTACCTGGGTGTTCTTACTTACCCCCATGTAGCAGAATAGTCTCTACCATACTAAACATTGGTTTTCCTAAGAAATTTGCACCATAGATTTGTGTGAGTTAATGATTTTAACCTGACTGTTGGGTTGGTAAGGTTACGATGGAAATTATTTTTAATTGACTAATTTTTCATCGAAACCAAGGACTCGCTTTTTGTCTCAAACCTCTGTAAAAGGTAAAGAATAGCTAACGCAAATGGATCTTTCAAAGTTTTCCTTTACCTAAAGATGCCAGGGTTGCCCCAGTGAGCTAGTCTTTTGGCCTCGGGAGGGAGAATTTTGGCTCAGGGTGTACTGGAGTTTTCTGCTCATAAGGGCCAAATCTGTAGGAACTTCACATGAGAAATCTTAGGTCCAACAATAAGCATACACGCACATGCAAGTAGGCACAAACAAAAACAAAAACAATGTTCTCATGACGATCGGTCAAAAACTTGCTGCGGCGTAGATCTCTGACAGAGCTGCCCTGAGACAGGGATGATGGATTTATCGCGTGGTTAGTATTCACCCGGCCATCTGCATGTACACTCAGTTGGTAAACTTGAATAGTACGGCAGTGCGTTACCCACCTGAACGCGTCCACTTACAGGTTCGAGGACTGGGAAGAATAACGAATTAAATGGCATCGGAATTCCCCTAATTTATTAAACGCTGCACTGACGACATTAGAAACATATCCTATCTGTAACTGTATTCTAGTAAGTCCCTCTACTTGCCCTAATGGTCACGATAAATAGGATGTGGTATGCGTGAGCGTAGGAAACGTTCACCCTGCCTCCCAGCAGTCGCTTGATTTTTGTTAAAAAAATTGGTTTTTGTTATCCGACGACGGCCAAGTTGTCCTCATTTCGACTGTCGATTTTCGGTATGACAAATTGGCCACCATTTTCCAGGTGGAGGGAATAGATCTAAAGAACCTTCACCGATGGAGCCAGATGCTTTAGATACGTATCGATATCCACTCGACACGATAGTTTACAGTTTTGCCAATGATTGAAAATCTTTTGTTCCCCGGACAACTAGCTCCGGTTTTCGAATATGGTATATCGTTCGGTCTAGCCATGTCTACTGGCTTTATTGCAAGAAAATTTCACACAGTTGTCTCATGAACGTGTTGCCATGCCAATCAATCATTATGTGCGTATGTTAGGATATCCTCCGATATAAAGCAGACGTACGGCGCCATGTTGACCAGAGTACTGTGAGATTTGTGGAGAGCAGCAACATTACGTGCCCACATAATGTCCATCACGTTCAACGTACACTAATAATCCGTTACACTGTATCCAAAGCCAAAGCCAAATAAACGAACTATTTAGACCTCTATAATAAAAGTATTCCTGACTTATACCATATTTGTATTAGGTCTCCTGCGTTAGACAGCATCAATGTGGCTCTGAAGTATCACAGCCCTGTGAGGAAGAAATCTCTTATGGGGACAAAAATAGCATTCGTTTGGAAAAGCAAATGCAAACAAATGCAAAAAACTGAAGACTCATTGCAGGCAGCTTCGCCGTCTACGGAAAGCGCATATACCAGTATCGGGGGGATCTTTGTACACGTCGCGTATTAGCGAGGTGGAATATTCTAACTTCATAAAACAGCTAATTGGAGTCACCTGAGAAATCGTAGAAAGCGAGCCGGACCACAGGTGTTGATGAAAAATTATTTTTCTTTATGGGGGCAGGACGTGATCTACTTACGAAAAAGCCAACATATATATACCTTTCATTCCTCCTTTTTTGGAAAATTCCTCTGCATTCAGTCATACCTATGAAAAATTCACTTAGACAGGATTACAAAAATGCCCAGTCTTTCGTCTTTAATATTAGCTGATTAGCTAAGAACATTCAACTTCTACTGGAGTTAAAGGCTTTTTGCTAAACGTCTGTGCAAAGACTGGCCTGTCCTAAACAGATGACATTGCGTGCTTCGCTTTAAAACGAATTAACAAAAGATCACAAGTGAATATTGATGGGGTCCCGTTCAATGTACAGCCTGGTCATTTTGTTCGACTTGTCCACACAATCCCCCCATTTGTCCTTCAAATATTTTAGTTATACCGTACAAGTCAGCCAGTTTTCCTACAGCTTCGTCCGCGCGTGTCTTATAAGGAAGCGCATTTGGATTAATGCAGATGTAACCGAAAAGAGGAAAACAGGAGATAACAACCTAGTCATTCTTCTCAGCGATAGTTCGTCGAAGGTGGAGGATCCAAACGCTACCCATTTGGTTTACACGTTTTTTTACGGTATATCCACTGAAATCCTTCTGACTGAGGTAGTGTATAAAAGCAAGCGCTTCTTTGATTTTTTAGGCTAAACAATATGGAAAAGCGTCACAGAAATTACTCGCAGAACGACTCTTACATGGAACATGAATATCTCATCAAACCCAATAAATCAGTGTTGGTTGTGGGTAAGGTAAAAAGAATTCACTAGATCAATGAATATTAGATGAAGGAATGTGTGTTGCGTCGGGTAACGGAATGCATAACACCTTGAAGGTTGAACAACGAACGAAGCATGAAAACAGTAGGCACAAGACATCACACATAATGTGTCCTATTTACATTGCACTTCATTCTAGGAGTCAGTTACATGGAAAGTACTACGAATCACAAAACAGGAAAAGATAGTTTGCAGAGGAACCATACACAGTCGATTTTCTCATTTGGCCAGATGAGAATTATTGCAACTTCAGGTCTGGTTAAATGCACTGATTGTGTAAAAATTCGTGAACATATTCCTTAGAGTCATGTGATATTGGCCTTAGGGAATCGCACAACACTGGTGGTCGGCGGCTCGCCACTTCCGATGCAAGTGTCCGGTTGATGCCTGTCAAAACTCCCTGAGTCAAAACCAGCTAAAACATTGTCCGGAGGTTGCATTGCGGCTGGAAAACAACAAGAGGCACGTCAATTGGAAGAAAATCAGATTACTCTGACGACAGAATCGCATCGTGCATCGCTATTTATATGCTTCGTGCCACTGTACTGCTCATGCCGAAATCTCAGCGTGCATTACCGTGAATCGATTCCTTGGAGGCGGGTGGAAGTCTGGTTCTTTGTTTGGTTTCAATGAGGTAACAGTGTCAGGAGCGATAGAAAAGTCACACGAAGCGACTAGAAAAATGACGCTGGAAATCTCACGAAGCGTCTACTTGAAATGCGGTCGATGACTGACTTTTTTTCACACATATACATTATCTGGACCTGCGTCTGCGCATGCCGGCATATGGCTCCTATGTTACGAAACGCGGCAACATGCTCGTCGTTACGGTACTACATGAAGGAATCGCTCCAAATAGTCCTTTTCCTAGTAAAACCTCCCGATATGACTGCTTCTGTCCGTATTTATGGTAGTAAATGTGGCCTTTATGAAGGTGTTTTCCATTTGCAAAAGCTTCTTGAACATTTCGCGAGTATGAGGACAGAGAGACAGAGGTAGTATTCTGGCTTCATTGATTATCCATACTGCGTCAATGCCGCGTAGATTTATGAGCCGCTTAATCTGCTAAAAGCTGGGGTTTAAGACTATGTGCACTTCGGAATATACTCAGTTCATGGTAGAAATTTTGCAATCAGTTTGTCGTTAACCAGCTGCAACTAGTAATTCCGCATGGTTCTTCAAGCCATAGGGAGCCTTTGAGAAGACAAAACTGTTATTAGAAACAGAGGTTATCTTGGGGTGCTCTTCTCCAAAAAGAAATTTTCACCGCTAGCTACGGGTAAACGTAATAACGCAGAAACATTGCTTCACGTTTCAAACAGAGCTTAGCAATAATTCTTCAGCGGAACGGTACTGTTTTGCAGCGTAAAACAATCCAAAATAAGAGTTGTGTAAGTTACCATCACCATGCAAAATGTCCTCAAACGCCAGGATGATGGCGCAATTCACCAGCTGAAAACGATTAAAGTAGCATCAAGACCATAAAAAATGCGACTGCAAAGTTCAGGCCCCATCGTAATGAACCAAGGAAATCCACTATTTTCAATCTTTACTGCATTCTTGTTTGAAAAGTTCCAAACACATACCTTCATTGCAAACATTTGTCTGTCTTCGTTTTACTTACCGGAAGGTATCATAAATCGCCTGCGTTTGATAGATAAAATAAGACAAATATAGCATTGGTGTCACACTCTGGCCTCCAGCCGAATTTCAGGTTCCTAATCCGCCAGCAGCCTGTGTGCGTGGTCCGATTCATGGAGCACAGCAATCAAAGACGCGCACTTGCTGCATGATGCATCCAAGCCAAGTAATAGTCGTAATAGTAGTGATTGGACCATTTAATACGGATTTTGTTGACGTGAAGATAGCAGAGATTACTTATAAAAGTGTGAATAATTACGCTTTAGAATTGAAAGTCATGGATTATTTCTAAATCCCATTGCTTGGTTTCGAATAATTGCTTCTGTGGTTCATTGTTCAGCAGTAAGGGCCTCACTTTCCACAACATGACTTTGAGAGACATAATGGACGCTTTCAACTTGGCTATGGCATCAGTTTGAATGTTACCTTCATGTATTTTGTCATTAGTAGAGGCGATAGAGGCTACATAACTGCTTCAGTATTAGAATTTCTTCAAATTATCGGCTTTTAGAGCTTGGGAAGCACACATAATAGTATGACTCACCTTGGCTTATTCTAGGAAGGCTCGGAAATACCAGGCCGGGGACCATATGACTTTTGTTATCCTGAAATGTCCTCAAGGTAGCTGAACGGAGCTGTTTGTTCACCACAAGAGGCATCGAGGAATTCGGGTGGTTAGGTACTTCTTCATCACTCGCACCGCGACCACTATCAGAACGCTGTTCCTCGCCAGACCCACTTCGATCACACTTACCCCCTCCGTTGGTCATAGTTGCTGCCGAGATCGGTTTATTTGTCACGTGAATTTGTCCAGCATAGAAAGTGCCATGTTCTGCGCCTAAGCGAAATGGACTTGAAAGTCCCCCACAGGAGGCTGGATAAATGATATTTTCCCTCATGGGTGGTAAGGACGTGTGGGGTTCCAAAATATGCACCGGAGATATCAGCCCAAATCCAGTGGATCCAGAAATAACTGATGTGCCGCCTGGGACTGTGCTGCCGACTTCGTTGTTTGGCATTATCTGACAGTCAGAACAATAGTTTGCACAACTCGCACCAGTGGAGGAAGTGGGCTCATGATGTGTTGTTGGATTACCAAAAACTCTGTGTACCTGTTAACATAAAGCAAAAAGAATCTCCACAAATTATTGGTTCGTGGAGATCACAAAAATAATTATTTAGCTGGTGAGGGTGCCATTTTCAATCCCGAATGGGTTCTGCTATATTAGCTTCATTTTACAGTGATTAAGGTAACTTCCCAAAATATGAAACTAGTCAAAGATAATACAGAACGAGCGAAAGTAGCACTATAAATATATATATACATATATATAGACAGATACAAAAGGCGGCATATTAATCTTTTCCCGCCCACGTTATTACAGTATTTTGCGATACTTTGTTTCATCACCGCAGTTCATACTCCAGGTGTACTTCAAGAGGCAGCTCGAAGAAGGATGAATCGATAAGCGGGATGCGCAAACCATTCATAGTTGATGGAGACAAACGAGAATGAATGACAGGATGAAATACACTACTTTATCTAAGAATGACACCTTGTAAACTCTGTGGTCAATCGTCCAGATGAGTCTAATTTGACTGCAATCTTGTTCAAATTCGCTACCGCACATGAAAGGTAATCAGTAGAAAAATTCGGAAATGAATTTAACTCCTCATTTTCTGTCCTCCAATGGAAATGCAGACATACTGCCCAGTTTTTGGAACACAATGAATGCGAACATTTTTTTGGATAATTTCTCATCATAAAGGCACACTAGTAAAATAGTTTCCAAAGCAGAGGAGATAATAAATGGGGTATCCTTATTGAAAAATTGGGAAAACCTGACACTCTATTTGGCGTGTGATTTGCACCGGGAATTTACCAAATAACTAACATATTAGGGAAGAGAATGACACTGAAGTCTCCCCATGCAAGGATACGTACTACGCCACAGGTACACACGTGTGTAAAACTATGGGAAAATGGGAGATCTTGCCTGGGTGGTCGAAAGATGGGAAGCGAACCTCCCGCCCTGTGGAAACACTTAAGGTGCGCATAGTAGGTGGGAAACTGTCGGTTATCTTAAGTGAGCCCCACGATGTGAAACATGCAGTGGTTCATTCTACGCTGCACTTTAGAGGAATTTCGATATCCTGGGAATGCATACCCAGAGAATATTTACCAAGTGCCCTCTAAACTAAGTATTTGACGAAACAACTCATTACCATGGGTCCTGTGGTTTTGTTTTTTCCATAAATACCTTAGAACAATGAGGTAGTGAATTTCGGATGGCTGACTTATATAAACCTGAGAGAAATAATCTTATATGTGTAATAATTTTAGAATGTTGCTATATACAATACCATGTATCGTATATAATATTGCTAGATAACGACATGCATGTATATATAATATATACATATATATAATTATATATAATTATATTTTTCGCTTGTCTAACAGGACAAAAATCAGTATTCCGATAAGGATCCCTAGTCCTCAGAACTGTTCAATTGAAATAATTTACGATACCACGTTAGCTGAAGACGTAGTACCGGTGGCAAGCCAAGTGCACAGACATACTTGAAATATAATATGTTTTGAAATACAAATATTTATCAAAATGTTTCCAATTATAAGGCAGGAAAACAGATATTTAATACGGTAGTTCGCTGGTTCCTGCTCAGGTACTGCCGAACTGTAGGCGGAGGCTGTCGGCAAAATATTTACTGAAGATGTTATTGTCGTCCAGGAAACATCATGCATGCAGTCAGTTTGTAAGTTCAAACAGTTTCCGGTACGTTTTCTAATAGAAAACAAGATTGCTTGCGCTGCTGGAATCTAACGTATCAGAAATATTTTGCGCTGTCAAACGTCAAGTATATTTACTTGGTTCGGATTATTCGGTGGGGAATTACTTTTATGTAGTTGGTACACTTTTTCTTAGGAAGTGTCATACGGATTTCTAGAGAAGTGCAAGATGGCAGTTACTTTAAAAATCTACCCCATCTTTGCATCGTAACACCGCTTACTTAGTATGGGATAAAATTCCATACCTGTCGAACTCATCTGAAGACAAAGGAAGTAGAGGGATTATAACAATCAATTTGGCAAAAGCAAGAGGCAGCCCGGAATTTCAGCATTTTGAAAGTTTTGATGTTTTCGTAGCTGTTTGACAGGTGTAACTATGTAATGAGTTTGGTGACGTGATGGTAAATGGTCCCAAATGCCGTATGCTTTTACTACACCTACACACGGTCCTATTTTTCCTATTGTCTCCTTCTGGAAAACGTCTTTTCGTCAACCAGCATTGTTTTCTTTGACTCTAGAAATCCTATTATACATCCTTTGTTCGTATTTACACCAGGTAACTTCACAGACGCTCAAAACCCACTGGGCAACTTTTCTGATTTCATTTAGGGCCTAGCGGGGTGTTCCTATTCACACCATTCCCTTTTGGACGGTCGTCCTCCACTTCTCAAGTAAGTCCACACCAAAGGGACTCGAGTTTCGCCCTCAATAGAATTCATCAGTAGCATACACCCAATGGTCGTGCCGGGATTCGAACCCCGGACATCTGAACTCCTAGGCGAGCGTGATACCACTACTCGACCAACGCGCGTTGGACGCATCTGAATTCTCACGTCTGAACAGGCTAACATGTTTACGCTTGAGCCATATGATTGGTGTGCCTGATTCATAGAACGACGACCCAGTAACTGTCCTGTTTGTGACGATCGATTGACCCGCCTATCGGGACTTCCCAGTGAAGTACCGTGACAGATGCTTGAAACCCACTGGGTAACTTTGCCAGTTTTCATTGAACTGAACCGATTCGGCACTTTGTTTCAGAAGCCAACGCTCCAGAACGCATCGTATGAGTTTGGCTTTCGTAAATAACTTCGTTTATTTTACGATCCAGAAACGCAACAGGCTTTGCAACCCACGAATATTGTACCAGCATTTTGTATCCTATAGTCTCTGTGATAACATGGTTGTGATAACATGGTTAAGTTTCGGTGAATGATTTGAAATTTTGAAAGCCCTATCCATTAAGGAAAAATGGTTGCGTTGTCTAAATTTTCGGATTTTTCCCCAGGATTTTTTATTTCCACACATTATTATTATTTTTCATCATGTTCAGTTGAACTCGTTTAGTTCTCCGAGCAATAACAGTCTAATCGCAGTACGGACCCCTCACACCTGTGGGAACTTATTTAGCTCCGTCTCATGTATCCCAACTCAGACGGTTTTGCTGAGAACAGTCGTCTTCAGTCTAATTCTGGTGGTTATCTACTGGAAGCATTAAATTTTGACGTTCGACGTACGTTACTACTGCAACAGCACTGTCCCTACCACGACAAATCAAGTTAGACAAAAACAAAAGTAGATGAGTAACAACCGGTGTCTTGCATTATTAATAAGGCCTTTCAAATGCTCTATTAGGTGATCAATACAACGTAATTTTCAATGAACCTTAATTGGGTATCACAAATCATTTATCACACTCATTATTCCAAACCATTAGCAGGCAATCACTTCAATCAAACTCACATTTGTGCGATTCCAGCTGGAGTCTGCTGCTTGTGTAAGTGTGTACTGGCATATGGGCATCGGAGGAGAAAACCTGTCAGATGCTGGAGAACCTAGAACGGTTGCATTGCTGCTCTGATTGTGCCAGTTTGGATCGTCATTGTCTATGCCAATCAACTTGTCTGTGGGGAGATATAAGTGGTCCAGTCCAGGAATAGGAGCTGTTGTCAACAGAACACTTCTAGGTTGTCCTCGGCTGTCCAAGGTACCAACATACCCGTTTCCGTTGATCATACCAAGACTGTAATCGTCTAAATTGTTTCCTGTGTGTTCCAAATATGCGTTCCCCGGGTTGATGGGATATTTTGACTCTCTGGCTCGTTTTTCAGCTTGTATCATGTTTGTCCGACGAGTGCTTTGGCGACATGGCTTGATCATACATAAAATGGCACTTATGAGTACAGCTGCCAGAAAGGCCGATACTCCAGACAATCCGATAACCACGAGGATGGTATGTGCTTCATTGTTTCCGTCTTTGGCGCTCATAGACGACGCTACGCTACGTTCATTTTCCGGAAACAGCCAGTTGCCCCGTGGGGGACCATCTTCGATAATAATGTAGATGTTCTAAATCAACAAGTGGATTTTACACATTGGAGGCGTGGATATAATTTGCCGCATCAAATAAATTTATCGAACTCACATTACAAACAATAATTCAGGAGGATAACAGTAACTGCTTTATTGTAAAACAAATTCCTTGAACATAATTACTGTGAAGAGACCTTGGGAAAGTCCTTCTTGACTACAATCATTGGCATTCAGTACAATGATGATATGCTTACGTTTAATTAACATGAAGCATTCGGTCAATAGATGACAAGTAATTAAGCTTCTAGGATCTCCATCACAAATTCACGAAATCGAGCAATCGGGTCACTTACTTTCTCAGACTTGAGAGATGGACTCCCTCCATCTTCCACAACTAGGGTCAGCGGATATGCCCCTATTTCGTTTCCACTCAAAGTTCTAGTTAACATTAAACGTCCACTTTGGGCATCCATCATAAACGCATCTAGTGGTGTGTGGGAAACAGATTCCGGTTTCATAGTGTCCCCGTCAAATTTGATAGTGTAGCGTAACAATGCGTTTCTTCCTTCATCTGAATCTTCTGCTTCTGCTATAAGAGCGCAGTAGCCTGGAGCCTCACGGAACGTGAGTGAGACTGTAATATCCCTCAAGTCTTCGAAGGCCTTCACGTCTGTCCTATTGCTTAAATCTGAATGGAGAGGAAACAAATGTAACGCAACAGAGTATCAGCAACAGCCTAGAAAGCGAAGTACGCGAAAAATTCTGGTGAATCATTCTTGTGTTGGACAGAAAAGGCCCTTGAGTGTTCACAGAGCGCTAAATGAACTTGAATGTAAATCCTATGAAATGAGGAAAAGATAGGAAAATAAAAAAGATAAAAACGGGGAATTTTAAGCTTACGACAGCTAAATTAATTTGGTAGTTATTTTATTGTTCAGTAAAATTAGTAATGTGGGGTTTGTACTTCCTGATCCACGGGTTTTGATGAAGCTGATTGTTCATTCAGCCTGGGAGGGCCAGCAGAAGTGTGAGTGACCGAAACGGATACTCGGATATATTGGCAAGCTTGAACTGAAGACACAGTTTCTCATTTTCCATCTGACCAAACATTTCCTATGCTGGAATGAATTGGCAATACTAAATTAGGCCTCTCTGCCGAAAACGCTAAAGTAAGCTGCTCCATCGACGATTACTTTAACTGGAAGGGTATCTTCAACCAGCGTTATGGGTTATGAGGGGATCCGGTAATTCTAAAGTTTGGTTGTTGGTTGTATGGTTTGTGGAATTCAGGGTCACATTTCTCTCCCTTGAACAGTCATCCTCCTGTTCCGGCGCAATCACTCTGATGGGCCCACACCAAAGTGATAAACATCAGGGGATGAAGATACATAGGATCTCGTGTAAACGACTTCGGTTCCAAAAATAAGCAGGTATTTCCATGGAATGTTGGTAATTCGGTTTAGTGCATGGGGGTTCCGACCTATACAAAGGTGACTGGAATGAGTCCAGACAAGTGGACACTAGGCCCGTGCTGCCTCTTTAGACCACATATTTATTCTGTAATAACTTTCTGGTTAAATACAACAAAATAAGCTTTAGCCGTGGAACCGCTAACACAATAGCAAGGTAGAGTCAAGTGCTGTGGATTACGTCACGTCGGAAGAGATCTGCATGATGTTTCCTCCTCTGCTTTTAGACTACTAACCAATCACTCTGGTTTAGTCTTGTTGGGTGCATAATATTTTGAGCAGCCGTCATCACAGCTTAGGAGGCATAGACGGGTGTTGCCATATATATGGAAACTCAGTCTCGTGGAAGTGAAGTTGGTTACCCCCAAAACCTCACTTACTATCCAGGCCTCAGCCATGGATAAACTTAGAGGCGAACAACGCCACGTGGTTTTGTTCAAATATCCTACTCACTCTCTGTTCGTGATTATGAACGGAAATTTCAAACACTTCTCGATCTGAACGCATAAATATTACTAATCGCTTGGTGCTAATAATACCGTTGTTTCGTAGAATTAGAAGACCTCCAATTCAAGAGCAGGAATAACAAATTTAATAGAGCATGCTTAGTGTCAAACGGACTGCCAAATGCCTGGGAAAAGTATCGGGGAGTCTAAACTACTTCCAAGTGTTTATGTGAATTTAGAAGTAAATATCTCATATTCAGCGTTTTTTTTACCTTTGCGTGAATATCACGCCAGAGTATGGGTTACTGTACTTACTTAATGTAGTACTTTGTGAGGTCTGAGCCAAATAAAAACAATTTTTTTCTACGGGTTTAATCTTTCACTATAGAGTTCTCCGGCCTAATGTTCATAATCAAATCAATCAATCAAATAACTGCAGGTGGATGGAGACTTAATCTAGGGCTAATGATGTTAAGTGTGGAATAGTGTGGATGCAGATACTACTTTTTGCCGGTTTCTGTGCGCTTCTAAACACATTCCTTTCCCACATTGACAATCGTAAGTTTGACACACAGGCAATTGAGAAATGGGCAAATGAGCAGTCGTGAACTTTCAGTAGGGCTGTGATGTACATATCAAGATACTGATTGGTAAATATTGCCACCTGTAGCTATGAATGGACGAAGTGCGTGATATCTAAAGCAGATATTCTGTTGTTTCGGGTCTCACAGGTCACTCAGTGCTGGCACCTATTCCGCCACATAAATATCACTTAATATGACTGTGTTCACTAGAATGAGCTCCCATGTTCTATAGCAATACAATCAGCATACAAATGTTCAAATGAGGGTGATTTTGGAACATTCGCCGGATTACTTGAAACCGGACAGGAAAAGTATCGGTCAAATCATCACACACATACACCTTAAATAAACAGAACAGATGTTGCCTATTTATGTTCCGGCATTAATCGTTCTCTCTATTTCTCATTCAATGTTGCTACCTTTGCTCCACCCGGTGGAAATAACAATCCCGTGAAATCTGTATTTGAGTCCTGGATACATTTGGCATTTCATTCCATCCATCAGGATAAATATTGTGGCTTGTCTGACCACTTTTTCTCGGCGTGTATTGTGTATGGGAGTGCGCAGAAATCACCGGTGGAAAAATTTCTTTTCTCTCATATGGCTGCTCAAGTAACCAGTTAGTTGCCGTTGTTAGCGAGAAAACCCGTGTGTCAATCATCCAGGAAGGCTAGGAATCGATAATAATGGATGGGCTAGTTGGATTATTGCATGGTGGTTGAAATTGTCTTGGTACGCCGATCAAATGTTGGCTTACCTTGTGACATTCCTCTTATGTTGACAAATTTCGGAGTGTTGTCATTTAGATCCAGGACTCGAACGCAGATTGTATCTGTGCTTGATAGTGGTTTGCTTGGAGACTTGTCTTTGACAACTACCTCAAAGCAGTAGTGGGCCTGATATAAATGTGAATGAAATAAATGTGGCACTGGAGAAAATATTGCACGGAATAATCAAAGAAAGATAGTAGTGTTGGAACTACTGTAAGTTATGTGATAATCATTAATCTCAGAAAATATATAATTGGTATGAAATGTGGAAAAGTATTGAAATAACCGCAAAACTTAGTCAAAGCACCATAAAGATCACCCCAGTTGCTCACCTTCATAATATTTTGATAAACTGAACTTTGCTTGAAAAACGCTCGAGTCTATGATTTCTACACGTTTTTGTGCCCACTTCTTGTACTTCGGAGATCGTGGGCGCGCAGTACTGAGACGAGCTTTAACCGTTAGTTGGTTCCTTACACGAAGACGAGTGACCACACATTAGCATCTCTCTGAGAAGGTTCAGCGTTCGGTGGGCACATGAGTTGACCTACAGGACAGCGTCAGACTCAACAAAAAAATTTTTGCCCGAACTCGCTGTTTTCTTTTGAAATAATGGCGAGAAATAACCGTTTAGAAACAGCGTCCTTTCGTTTCTACTGACCCGTACACGTATATCCCCAAGTCTTCAATAGGGAAACTGCTACACTGAGACGCGTGTGAGTTTACAATGATGTGTGTGAAATTATTGTGCTCATATTTTCGCCGACGGCATGTTGCTGATATTAGCTTGCCTATGCATAAAACAGCAATAAATATTTCTGGCATCGTTCATTTTCTTGGATGTGTTTGTTAGATGCCACCTGTGGATATGACCCAAATACTTGACAGAGGAAACAGTGGATTGAATGATTTTGTTCCGTTCACTGAAAAAAGAAAAATCGATATCCAAAATTGCTCAACACTACTGAAAATTTCTGTTTCAGTGCAAAGCAAGTAGCTGTCTATGTTAGGAAAGTTCTTGTTTGTGAACTAGGAATTTTAACTTGTGTTTTTCGAAACGAAAAAGAGATGCAAAAGTTTGTTCTTAGTCTGGAGCAAGTGGTCTTCATATTGGTTAAACTAAAGAAAAGAAGTAGGCGGAAAGGCTGAGTAGTAAGGACACATAAACGCATATGTGCGCTAAAAAACCACCAACGTATTGGTAAACACTTCGCAAGCGTCTGGTCGAAAAAACTGCGCCCACTTCTCACAAAGATTTTCAAATACACAAAGTATAAGTATTTGTGGAAAACCCTCCGCAAAAAAGAATTGTCTACAAACAGATGGTTTGGCTGTTGGTGGGGCATCTGAGATTTTATACAGTATTTTATTTCAATGGACCTGGTTCGTTGAAGCACTTTATAACCTCCCCAAGTTAGGTGAGTTGTGCACACGAAAAATGTGAGAGCACGTTCCACTTCCTCAGTCAGATTATTTTCCCATGTTATCGTCCTAGTTCAGTGTCTTAAGCCATATTCTGGCCTATTATAGCGTAAAGCAAGAAAGACTGCTCACTTAGGTCAAAAGCCTTGTTAGCTGACCCCGTCTCGACATTAGCCAAGAAGGCCCAATGTACTGGATTAAAGTTTTAAAGTAAAACGATTTGAAGGTGTACTGCGACTGGTTATTTAAGGGAATTGTTTTATGACTCATCAACTTCGTTGAGTCTGCTCTAGTAGATAAAAGTTGTTCCTTATCAATAAACATAGACATTTTTGGTGAATAAAAACATTATGACGGAGGCAAATTGACATACTCTTAGGCAAACGCATTTAATTCATGGTCGATATTTACTGCTCATTCATACATCGTTCAAAGTGATTTGACTAAGGTCAATGACACCGATACAGGTATAGTTGTTGGGTTCCTTTGAACCCTGCGGATCTGCCGTACCTGAATTTCTCTGTCCAACATTTCCGTGGTATACAAACTGCCATTATTCGTCAGTTTTATAGGGGCGATAGATCGGACCCTGAATGTTTTGTTCTGTTCTTCCGAAGCAATTGTTGATTGAAAATTGGCCATGCTGAACTCCACGTCACGATTTATCCCTTCGTCGCGGTCCAACACCTGCAGGTCGCCGATCCATTTCGATGATACCTGGTTTTCTTCCACTGCGAACTGTCTGGGGCCGCGAAATTCTGGGGCATTGTCATTGTCATCTATAATCTTGATTTGCACGTGTGTGGTAGCAGTATGCTGCTGACCTCGAAAATTGGTCCGGCCGTTTCGATTGTTTGTCCTTGGAAGATGCCCGTCGATAGCAAGCACTGTCAGCTATGAGACAAACAAAAATGACTCATAAGTGCAAGTCTGCCCGGTGGGGTGAGCTTTGTATTTATGTAAATGTAAGCAGTACCCTTAAGACCATTTAGTCGGCATAGATTCTTGATCAGATCAAATGGGAATGAGAAACGCGTTTAGATTTTGTATTTTTAGAGTCTGCTGACGTAACTCGTTGCAACATCTAAGTTGAAAATTTTGTTCGCGTAAGAGCGACTCTTGAGGAATCTGAATAGGGATCCCTATCAAATTTTACTTCTGTCTTAAAATGTTTGCCAGGTATCAAGTTTGCATTTAAAATCATCATCCATAAAACCAGGATGTTGGTAAAATTTAATGCTCGTTTTCTAAAGAAATGGATCAGCAATACTGTTTCGGCTGCACAAGTGCACCATTCGGCCCATTGCCAAAATTGTCCAAGTGGATTGTGATAGATTTAGTTCAGCATGTGGTTGAAATATAAACTAAGAAGGAAAACGGAACTATTCGCCCGTCCAGATAGCTTACGCACGACGACAACTTACCTTTCTTATTGGTAGGTTGCCAGATGAACACTATTCGGCACTCGATAACCTAGAGTGAGTTAGAAGCAAGCTGAAGATAATACTTTCTTTCTGAGATGAAAGGCTTATTCATCTCTCATTATATGCGCTCATACCGAGCATTTTTTCAGATCGATTTGGGGAAAACAGACCGTGAACGATAATACGTCAGGTGATCAAATGTTGATTGAAGTGAATAAAGTTCCAGAGTGACCTGTCGATACCACCATGAACTCAAACACCATAGTGGGTTTCGTGCATAACTAGGGTTTATGCTAGGTAGATTTGCCAAATTTGTGGAACCATTTTGCTGTTGGGACTACTGTGACTTCATCGTTTACTTTAATAAATGCGTTTGATTAAGTCGGCATAGGTGTCAGATTTGCCACTGTTTACATCAAAATTAGCAAGCACTTGGTTGCACTCTGTTCACCTACGCACTTCAATAATAAAGTGTTCACCAGTTAATCCATGGTTCCAACGCGAACCGTGTGTGTTTACGATTACATCTGTCACCAGTTACGAATGCGCTCCGTGGGTCATGTTGACTGACAAGAAGGCCGGCACCGTCTTCCAAAAAGCATGTCAGTCATAGTTAAACTTGGCGGAACATCTTTCGGGTTCAGTCTGGTCTGTGGCTGACGCAGTAAGAACGCGTAATGGTGGTGACTAGGCGGGTTTCTCACCGGACTAACCTGGAAGGGTGTTGACTTGAAAGGTGCAGAAATTTGGGATCAAACAATATTTACAATCATCGAGAACCAGAATAACGCAGGCTCATCAAGCCAGCGAATAAAGGGAGGTTTTGCCTGTCGAGTGAAGCACATATTTGTATCGTAAAGTGGGACTAGCGAGAGGTTCAAAATTAAAAAAAACACTAAATCTTTTGTTATTGACCTGCTTTGACTGAATGCACCGCACAAAAGATGTCTTTATTATTTGAACCGCCATCCTTTACTGGCGTGCAGTTTGAATATCTCCTACCAACGTTTCAAGTGGTGCCTCCTCAAAGTGAAGAAGGATGGCGTCTTACCTGGTATGCACGAGGTAATAGTTCCTCTATTTGGACTATGACCTAAAATCCCAACGAGCATTTGAAGCCGCCAAAAACCCTCACCAAAACTAGTAAAGTAAAAAGACTGTTGCTCTTTGAGTTCACAGCAATTCTTCTCCAACTAACGTTGGGGAATGTGACCTGTGGATCGAGTGGAATGTCAAACTTTAGCGTGGTTTCTTGATCAGTTAAAGAAGCAACAAGTGGTGGGATTTAGCCTTCAGAATTGACGGAGTGGATAAGTTGTCTAGATGAAAGAAAAAGATCTCCCAATAGGCATTACTGACAATGTGGTGATGAAGATTAAAAGCTAGAAAGCTACATGATAACAAATGCAGTGGGATACACCTTAGTATCACCGTGTTAGATTTCATTTGCTGAATTAAATCATATTTTAGTGGAGCTTGAGTTCACAATTGACTAAAGAATAGCACTAAGGATCTCAGTAGTTCACAAGTGCTCCCTTGGCTATTGTCAGGGAATGCCACTTACAGAAACACGTCATGCATATGTAGAGTCTTACCAGGGTGAATCGTGCACTTTCGAAAATCAAAACAGATGACAAAATGTTGCACAATAGGGGTGCCGAGGTCTAATGCCCACTTAAGCATAACATATTCTCCCATCATTCGAAAACGCTGTATGGTAGCACTTGACAGGACATTAGAAACACCCACCTTTCATAGTTGGGCACTACACAGCGCGCAATGTTCAATTATTATATTATTAAATTATCCAACTCTGCTCTTGAAATTCAGGACATAACGAATAGGCTTATGGGTGATATTGCGAACTATCACAGCTGATCAATTAATTTGACCAGGTTCAAATATACCTATTGGTTGTTTGAAGGCAATTTGCAAAAGTAATTTCGTCACCGAAGATGTGCCGAGCAAAAGTAATTTCGTCACCGAGAAATGACCAGGAAATGGGGTTTCAATTCCAGTAACTGGGAAGCCGTTTTTAAGGTAAACTAATGGACCGCCATTTCGATCGTTTCCTATGTATTTTTCAAATAGAACTGCCAATTCGGATAAACATATTCAGTGAAACTGCTGCGGAAACAAATGTGCAGTGATTAACAGTACATTCATTCATTCCAACAAAGTTTATCTCTTCGGAAAGCCCTGTGATTGTGTGACTCTCTGCCATCGAGTTCCTGATTTCGCAGTAAAAATGTCTACTCAGTCTTTTGCTTTCTAATTTGTTCTCCATGAATGATCCATGTTTCAACATAAAATTTACGACTGGTAACGCCCTATCCTGACAAAGCACCCCTAATGAAGCCGCCTCATTAGAAAAGTCATTTTCTACCTACCCAGGATAGTTTTCCACGAAACAAGAAGGCCAGTAGAAACCCCAAACAAAGATCATCAAACCATATTACATGTATACCTTTTTTACACGGGATATGTAACTTCTACTTGCACGTTTTTGTAGTGGATATTTATTATTACAGCAGTCCCCGACCATGTATTCCTTATTTTTCAGCCAGAGAACCCTTCTTAACAGGCTTTTATTCCTCTATTTTTGACTGAAAATGGAAGTTTTGCCGCATCGTCCAACCCTCCAGAAGAGTTAACAACTTGTGGAAATTTGCATAACATTATTTATGTAACAGTGAGCCACCTACATGCCTTGGAATCGGTCATTTTTCATCAAAGAAAACTGCGCACATTTAATGATCTGTCTACGTCGATTTAACTCGCATCTGAACGTAACTTTTTCAACATCAGGTGAAATAAGAGGCATATTTAATCTGGATAATGATAGTGAGATATGAGGTTTCAGCGTGTTGTATAGAATCATCTGCCAAAAAGAGAAAGCGTTCAGTTGTAGCACCCTTCAGGTGCCTAGCTGCCATGTCACCCGAAGGAAGCACGAGGGCTGGGATACTGCCAAGTTGCCCAAGCCTAGACAGGGGAAGTCGAATGGCCGAGGTCGGATTCGAACCACGAACCTTCCGGTCAGTAAATTCGCGCTCTAACCACTTGGGCCATCTCGCTAATAGTAGGGTCATACATCGGAGTCGAATAGACGGACAACATCCATTTTAATTTGGAAGGTGTGTTTGATCCCTGAAGCAGCATAAAAACTGAGGGGGGTGGCAACTTCAACGGGAAGCTGAACTGGTTGCAATCGTAAGAAATAACACTGCCGTTTATGAACAAGAAGCCTGTGAATTTCGTCTGTCAGGATACTCGTTTTTATCATCGTCGCTTCTGCTTGTCACCTGTTTCGGCATCGATTGTCTGTCAGATGTAGGCGGGCCATAATTTTTAAGTGATCCAATGTAAAATCAAGTTGCATGGAGAAACAAGGAACTCCTCGGAGTCAAATCAATAAAGGTCACAACCGGAACTCGGAAGGACAATGGTCACTCCAACATCGACCAGACTACGACGGCGAGGAATGCCAAGTTCAAAAGTCACGTGGGCATCGGGGACTGAGGACACGGGATAAAAAGAACAACCAATGGAACCGCCCGACAGAATAACTAATCGCGGTCAAAGGTCATCCCCGGCTACCAGCACGTATATCAACACACACGTAACACTACTAAACGCACAACCACTAACCCACCGCTACGCACAACTACGCACTGATGATGTCACCTCGATTGGCGATGAAACGTTTGCAACCAAATTGCCCAGCTCAGCGAACAAGCCAACGACCATCTTCTAGTCGTGTTTTACTTGGAAATGGCTTCCCGTATCTTTTTGCTCCGTTTTTCAAACATTCGCTTTGGTAGGTTGAAGCTGACGAAGAATCGCGGTAAGGTCCTTGTGACGCCAGTATTCCACATTACAGAAAAGGGCAGATAGGTTTACCGTCGTAAACAAGATAGCTCAGCTGGAGCCATCAGAGTTTGAAAACTGGCACGAAACTACTGTTCAGCATCCAGATGAAAAATCAAAATGGAAAATTGCTGGGTATTCACGAAACAGGAGAATCAACTGTGAATAATGCTTTCTTGTCAAGATGGTCAGTCGTTACGGGCGATGAGCTTAAAGTATGTAGTTTTGAAAAACTTTGCTTAGTGGTTCACAGTTAGAATAATTGAACCGTTTTAACTATTGTTCACGACATACTGATTTACCATACTAAAGGGCAAACTTGTTCTTGCAAAGAGTTTGCATTCATTATTCAGCTCACTGAAAAGGTGAAGTGCTAGAAAACAATAAAGATTCAAAATTGATGAGACAGTGGTTATACCAAGCTAATCCTGCTAAACAATTCCAATATTTTCATATCTGAATTGTTCAATTATTACACGAATACCCACGGATAAGGTGCACTTGAAAGAGGCCCAGAAGAAAACACTTGATATTAAATTCCATTGAGAAAAATTCGTTTGTCTGTGTACGTAATATTCAGTCAGCCTATAGGACTTTTCA